GCTGGGCCGGCCCACGTCCACCCGCCCACAGCACGGACAGCAGCGGCAGCCACGTGGTGAGCAGCAGGCGTCCTGGAAGGGACGCAGCGCTCCGGTCCCCCAGACACAGGCATCGCGAGCCGTCACCCACACCCACAGAACAGCAGACCCGGCTGCGCAGGGTTCCTCAGGTCTAGGACAGGGTCGCTGGGACCTAAAACCTCTTCGTGATGTAACGAACATAAAGCCCTCTTTATGTCAGTGGTTTAAACATTTTAAAGAACAAAGACTTCTCTAAAGTAACACTGCCTGGTCCTGCTCCTTGCCTCCCTTTCCCACCTGGAGTCTTTTCTCATGCCCTCGTCCCTTCTGCTTCTGAGGAGAATTCTGTGAGAACCCTCACTCTTCAGACCTTGGCCCACGCGGTGAGGTAACTGGGGTTACTGCTTACAAAACAGCCGCCTCCATCTCTCGTGGGGGGTACGGGGCACCTGCAAACCCGGCAGTGCCACAGGCTGTCTGCAATGCCAGGCCCATCCTCTACCACCGAGCTCCACCCCAGCCATTAATGGTCTTGTCCTCCACTTCCATGTCCCAGACATAAATCTTTACAAGTCGGGCTGAAGCCGGGCGTGGTGGCGCACACCCGTAGCCCAGCATTCAGGAGGCTGAGGCAGGAGGATCGCTGTGAGTTTGAGGCCAGCCTGGGCTTCATAGCGAGTTCAAGCCCAGCCTGGAATACACAGTGAGACCCTATCCCAAAAAACAACAAAAATCAAAACAAAACACGGAAGTCAGACTGCATGCTGCGACTTCGTGGAGGCTAACGGTACTCACTGCTCCTTTCTCTTCAAGTTTTCTCTGGCCTGCTGGGCTTTGGTGAGGAAAAACCACTGCAGATTCGCTGGGTCACAGAGCGTCGGGATGTTAAAATGCCCCAGTTCATGCAGGCTTGGCGCATACCTGTCACTGAAACAAACGGACATGAAGGGGAGAACTGGCAGCTCCCTCTGCTCCCCACGGAGGAAATGTCTAATTGGTCTTTGAATAACTGAAAGGATGATCAAGGAAATGCCACGACCACGCCAGTAGAGTCTGCGTGACAATGCCGGTCACCTGGCAGAAACCAGACCAGAGGTATCGTCCCCACGGGGTTAAGCCTCCTGGAAGTCCTTGGCACACACCGCATGCGAAGTCAGCCGTGAAGAGAATACCTGGCCTCTCTGCCTGCAGTTTGGGGACACTGGGTTCATCTATAATTCTGTTCTATTTTGTCTTTATTACTATTTGTTCATTATCTGTAGAATTGTATTCTGGGCCCAGGAAAGGTTAGGAACAATTAGATGTTCCTAGAGATGGTGAGGTATTGAGGCACAAGAGGACGGGCGGCCAAAGTGCTGACCCTGAGCCCCGGACTGTGAAGTCCTGAAGGTGATCCTGAAGGTGACATGCTGAAGCCAGTCCTTTGTCTTACAAACTTCCCCTTCTGACTGCGTATAGGTGTGGTCTTACCTTGACTTAATGGTCTTAGCTTTTGTGATGGTATATAGGTGTGGTCTCACCTTGACCTTGTGGTCTTAGTTTTTACAGTACTATTGTCTATCTTTCTCATGCCTGCCTGTGCCTGAAATCCCTCTTGAGGTGTGCCCTTGAAACTAGTATAGAAACACCTAGAGTTGAAATAAAATTGCAGCAGCATTGGCAAACTTCACCTCGGTGTTGAGTGCTTTTGTCTGACTGTCATCGCCGAACCTGCTCCCACCTTTCAGAGAACCTGTATCTCCTCGTGAAATCCCGTGTTTGCTGCCCTACGGTCGGTAGCAAGGAAATGTGCCTTAAAAATACATTTCATATAGCATGGGGCCAGGTATTTAGCTCAGCGGCACTGTGCCTGGAGGCAAGCACAAGGTCCTGAGTTCGATCTCTGGTACTGGGGAAAAAATACCATACAGAAGCACCAAAGCCCCAAAGACACACTTTATGGGGACGCTGCTTCTAACCCTGTACTGGAACCCGCTTCCCATGAGCTGCGAGGGATGGAGGAGGTGCTGGTGTGCGAACACCGTTCTAGAGATCCGATCCTCCGTTGTGGGGAGAAGAGCTGCTTACGTCCTTGTCTGTAACTCTGAGAACCACACACTGAAACACAAGACAGTGTAAGACACTGCCACGGGCCCATCGGGGTCCTGCCCTGCTGTTACCTGTTGAGGGTCATTTGTAAGCCCCGAAGACTCTGAGGGTGGAAAGACGCTCTGCTGTGCAGCAGCCTGCGGTGGAACGCATCAAGGACAGAGAAGTACTCTTCAAGGGTCAGCACTGGCTGCAGCTCCTCGATGTAAACCACTCGGATTCCCCCTAAAAGTCCGCTTATTTGGTCTTCTAAAAGCATCAGCTTCCTCTGGAGGTCAAAATAACTTGGCAACCTTTCAAAAAGCTGCAGAGTTGGAAAGAAAGGAAGACCCGTTTAGTTTTGTGTTGCTATAATAACTCAACTTCAGGATTCCAAAGAATAGAACTGAGAAAATCTAAGAAAAAAGTTATTCTCCTAGAGGAAAAGACTTCATAAGATGTTGGAAATACTAACGTTTAAAACAAACTACCCTATGTCCAGAGATTTTTACGTAGGAATTGAAGAGATTGAGGGGGAACAAAAAGAACTCTAAGTCCCAAATAAAAGTGAAGTCTGAATTGCCAGGTGTGGCAGTGCACACCTGTAATCCCAGCACTTGAGAGGCTGAGGCAGGAGGATTGTCAGGAGTTCAAGGCCAGCCACGACTACAAAAGAACAACGAAAAAGGTCTCAAGTACTAATATTTAAATATTTAGGTAGAAAATTTAAACTCATTTAGAATGATTCAATGGTATAATAAAGCTTTTATTTTATTTTTATTTTTGGTACAGGAGATTGAACTCAGGACCTTGTGCTTGTAAGGCAGGCAGCAGAACCACTGAGTTAAATCCCCAGCCCTATGTATTTGTTTTGAGACAGGGTCTCGCTGTATACAGGCTGGCCTTGAACTCACTAGGAAGCCCAGCAATCCTCCTTCCTCAGCCTCCTGAGTGCTGGGACTACAATTCTACAAGTGTGCACCACCATGCCGGGCTAATAAAGCTTTTGGAAATGAAGGGCATGGGTGTACTTCAATCCTAAATCTATTCTCTCAATATTCACTTTCAATCAACTGAATGTGGTTCAAATTCCAGTATCATGGGCACCCACCGTACCTCACCAATGACCCAGACTCCCACAGTGCACAGATCAGGGCCTGTCAGGGCCTCGGAGTCAGGGTCCACTGAAACAGCCCCCAAGCACAAGATCAGCCCTGTAAGTGCTGTGTGGGGGATGGATTTAGAGGGACTCCAGGGGCCCGGGGACGTCTAGTTGGACAGACCTCGAGCAGTGAACCGGGGTTTCAGGAAGGTGGAGGATTAGGGCTGCTCTGGGGCAGAAAAAGGCAGGTTCAAGAAGAACCAGGTGCTGGTGTGGCAGAGTGGGGTGAATGACACAGGGCGGATGGCCCAGCGAGGACCCCGACTCTACCAAAGCTGGGGGCTATGAGACCCAAGGAGAGGAAGGCATGGGAGAGTCTGCTGTAACAAAAGCAGTCACAGTATAAGCATGCTGCAAATCGTTGGTGATCTAGTTACCGCATTTTATGAAAAAAAAAAAGAAAAGACTATGCTTTGACTTTCCTCAGTAGGTTATGCATGTACACATTAAGAACATTAAAAAAACTTTTTATCCTTTTGCAGTCCTGGAGATTAAACCCAGGATTGTGTGTATGCGCCAGGCAAGCACTCTACTACTAGTCTATGCCCCGGCCCTTTTTATTTTTCATTTTGCCCAGGCTGGCCTTAGAACTTGCAACCCTCCTGCCTCAGCCTCCCAAGTAACTCAGATTATATTACTGTGCATTACTATGCTGTGGCTTAAAAAACTTTTTATCTTTAAGTAACCGTGGATGCACACACCTTCCTCCAGATCCTCTACAGTAAGCTGGGCTCCTCAGTTTTACTTGAATTCGTCTGGGTTAGTTCTGTGCTCTCTTATCCGTGTGCACGGCAGCCCCTAGTCTATGGTTTTATAACCCGAGGGGCGGCAGGAGGTGACCACACAGGGCGCCCCTCCCGGGTGGAGGGCTATGGGGAGGGACCAGCTTCCCCGGCCGCTCAGAGCCAGGGACCTGGTGCCATCGCTGATATTCAGAGCAGGCTGTGTGCAGTGTGGATTTTCACTGCCCTGTACTTGGCCAGCACGGTGCCGAGCACAGGTGGCTGGGTGTGCAAACAGCACCAGCCTCTGAGCCCTTAGCGGCGTGGACGGAGCCCTCCACGTCCCCAGCACTTGGAGCCTGGTTTTCATGTTGGCCGTTCTGCTTAGCGGTGGCAGAGTCACTAAACAGTATGCTCTGTGCAGGGGAGAAGGGTCTCTGCCCTTATGGCGATTCACCGCATTCCCCTTGTGGTCAGGAGTGTCTTTTATGTGCTCATGCCCTGTCCGTCCTCTTTGTGATGAAGTTTTTTTTTGAGGCAGAGTCTCGCTCTGTAGCTCAGGCTGGCCTTGAACCCATGGTGGTCCTCCTGCCTCAGCCTCCCCTGCTGGAATTACAGGTGTGCGCCACCATGCCAGTTTTGTGAAGTGTCTTTTTAAGTCTTGTATGTTTTCCACTTGGACTGGCCATTGTCATTGTTTTACTGGTGTGTGCCCAACGTTCTCTGCGTCATCTGGACACCAAGCGCTCCTTAGGGAGGCGGCTCGGACAGATGCTGCACTGGGAGGCGTGGGTGGGAAGGTGTGCAGTCGTCACCGACACCGCACGCACCCATCAGGAGTGCAGCAGTGAATGTCGGCGTTGACCAAGGCCGGGGCGCCTGCCTGTCATCCCGCTACCCGGGGCTGCCTGGCCACACAGACTCGCACAGCAAGACAAACCCCGAACATGAAAACAAACATGGCTATTTTTGGCATTTTCTCTAATAGTCACAATACCCTCTAAGTAACATCGGTCAATTCTCCAGGCGTTTGCTCAAGAGGAAAGCCTGCCCGTGCATTTGTGCACAAATGTTCACCGCAGATTTGTCTGTGAAAGCCTCTGGCACGACCCCGATGTCCGGCAATGTGAATGCATGTGGACCACGGTCTACTCAGACAGCGCACGCAACATGGCAAGGAAAAGGAGTAAACCAAATACACCTTAACGACATGGGTGTATCCCAAAATAAATGAACGAAAGAAGCCAGATGAAAAAGCTCATATACTCCATGATCAGTGTGTAAATCTAGAAAATGTAGTGACAGCCAGGCACGATGGTACACACCTGTACCCTAGCACTCGGGAGGCTGAGGCAGGAGGACTGCCTCGAGTTCAAGGCCAGCTGGAACTGCATTGCAAGACCCCCCCAAAGTAAAGCAATAGGTCGAAAAATCAGCCCAGACCCGCTTGGGGGGGTGCCCGCTGTCTCCATGGAGACACAGAGGCCTGGCTGGTCCATGGCAGCACACGGGCACCCCAGACCCTCACCTTGGTCCAGTCGTGGTGGACGTCCATGGTGCCCAGCATCACGTGGCCCACTGCGCTCACGCCCGAGCGGTCGGTAAAGATGAGCGTGCAGCCTGGGGACAGAGCACAGCTGTCACTGCGCTGCCATGGAGACGTGGGACCGCAGCGCACACTCGGGAGGAGGAGGCGGGGGCAGGAGTGTTTACCTTTGGCTCTCTGCAGGGTCTCCAGGCTCTGCTGTGCAAGGCGGCCCAAACTGTGCAGCTGGCTGCAGCGGTGCGCGATGCCCCAGCTTCTCTGCCACCTGCGACAGACACAGCGTGAGCCTCACCTGCGGGGAGGGCCCTGTGGGCTCAGGACCTCAGAACAAGGTGGAGAGGCCGGGCCTGGGCTCCCCACCCGCGTGGCCAAAAACAACAGCAGGAAGTGCTGAGAGTCTTTTTCTCCGCCACGGGGTACAACGATGACGATGATTCTGTTTAAGATTTAAGCTCTAATCAGGAATCCCAATCGGCTTGTCTAATTTTAACATAACCCTATTTGTGAGAATTTTTCTTCGCAATTTCTCATTCTCTCACTCCAGAGGAGACGACTGAGGCGCCACACTGTCCGCTGATCTAACAAGCGGGCGCTGAAGGGGGGACGACGACAGACGGACAGAGGGACATGGGAGCTGATACTGAGGCGACACCACGAGGTGACACTGTGAAGAACTCTGCAGCCAGCGGTATCAGGAAGCCCGCCTGCCCCTCGCCAGCTCTGTGCTGAGCCTCCCCAAGGTCCTGAGTCTGACACTGCAGGATGCGGACATAAGGTGACCCAGGGAAGGGACGAGGTGTTCAAAGCCAACGCTTGGGAAAACAAAAGCCAAACTTAAGCTCCTCCCCTGAGCCACACTCTAGTGCTGATGGATGTCATTTTTTGATAAAACGATTTTTTAAAAAATTTCCCTTAAATAGCCTAAACAAGCAATATAATTGTAAGCTGGGCATGGTGGTGCACATCTGTGATCCCAGCACTTGCGAAGCTGAGGCAGGAGAATTTCTCAAAGTTTGAGGCCAGCCTGGGTTCCATAGTGAGTTCAAGGCCAGCTTGAACTACATAGCAATAGCAGGATCTTGTCTCAAAAAAACAAAACCCCAGAAAACTGAAATTTAAAGCTTTTAAAGCAAATGTAGTAAATGGTCTTCCATGTAGGCTATCAAGAATTTTAAAAATATAATTATCCGCAATGTTCCCATTACTGGGGTCTTGGCTCATTTTCCAATAAGCAGGGAAGCCCTCTTAAGTTTGCAGTTCTAAAATGTTTGGGGCTCACAATCTCTTTGCCATTCTTAAAAACTGAGAACCCTAAAGAGCTTGTATTTATGTGGGCTACAGCTATGAATATTTGTAGCCCACACTAAAGCTGAGAAATTTCTCTACAAAGGAGTATTTTGGTTCGAAAGTCTGCACCAGCGGACGCTGCCCTTTGGGTCTTCCGTCTCCGTGAGGCCCTCTCCCTGCCGAGGCTGCTGGGACGGGTGTGGACCGCGGGCTGCTCACTAGGGTGCGTCCCTCCTGGTCACTGCGTCCCCAGGAGGCAGAGGGGCGCCCCCCCCCTGCTTCCCGTCAGGAAGGGGTTTGCTTGGCCACGTCATGGCCCCCAAGCCGCGGCAGCGGCTCTGAAACCCGAAAGCTCCTCCAAGCAGATCCACCTCTGGCGTCCGGCACAGCGCTGCAGAGCCGCCCGACGCCAAGAGTGGACGCGGGAGTCCTGCGACCAAAGCCTGGCCGGAAACAGCTGCAAGCTCAAACCCAAACATTTGCACACTGGGAGCCTCAGGGCTTTCTCTGAAGTCCGATCTTTCTTATGAGAGAGAAAGAAAACTGCTGCCGTGGTGCCCAAGGGCTGCCGGGTTCTTAGGGAAAAGCCCGGAGGAGGCTGGGCCGTCAGGGAGGCGCCAGGGCGCAGGGGCCGGGTCTGCGCCCGCGCCACCGTCCTCCCTTCGCTCCTAAGGCTGGGAGCTGGGAGGAACCTTTCCTAATGCGTCTCTACTGCTTCTGCGAGACGCCATTTCGGAGGATGCAGCGTGTAAAGTCCAGCTGTGCGACATGGAACCAAAGATACGGTATCCACCCCTCTCGACTGCCCTCTCTTTTCTTGCCCTGGTACCGAGGGTCCAACTGAGGACCTTGCGCTCACAAGGCAACGGTGGCGCCACTGAGCTAAATCCCCGGCTCTGGTTCCCTCTTTTAAAACTTAAGAACCCATCTTACCTGATCAAGGTATAATTACTTTTCCATTTTTGGTACCGGGGATTGAACTCAAGACCTTGCATTTGCGGGGAAGACCCGGCACCACTGAGCTAAATCCTCAGCCCTTTACTTTTTATATATTATGTATAACATAAGAAAAAAGTATATTTTTCTTACAAACATTAAAGAAGTCTAGCAATTATGCAAAAATATTAGTATGTCAGTGCTTAAACCTTAGTTCAACATTTTAAATTAATAAGTGTTCTTTTGCATAGATGGACATTTGATTACATTCATAAAAAGGCCAACTAGAGACTATTTCATTACCAGAAAATCTGAGTTAAATATGCAAATGCTCAGCTGCCGGCAAGGCGTACTGCGCATTTTACCCTGGAAGGTGGCCTCGCCTTTATTACCTGATATCTGAGAGCTGCAGAAGGTTACACAGTTCCTCTTTTAAACGCTCTAGTTCTTTTCTAAGTGGTAAACTATTCTTCAGCTTTTTAACTGCAATTTTCCCATTGATATGTAACCAGGATCTAGAAAGAAGAAACAGACACACATTTTCGATGCTGACATAATGTAAGCACTGAGAGACACACGTGCTGTCTACAGTGACTCCATTGCCAAACAGTTCTCAGCCTCTGCTTGTGAGGAGGCAGAGGGAGCGCTGCCTGCTGGCTGGGTCACATCCTAGTCACAACAAACTCTTTATACATTAGACAACGTTAAACTCGGCTGCATCAAGTCCGTCACTGGTTTTCTAGTGATAGGAAAATGCTTAAGAAAGTAAAGATTCTGCCAAGCGTGGTGGTCCATGCTTGTGATCCCAGCACTTGAGAGGCTGAGGCAGGAGGATCCCTGCAAGTTTGAGGCCAGCCTGGACTACATAGGGAGACTATCTCAAGGACAAAAAAAAAGTACATATTCTTTAAACCTTTTCCTTATGATTATCCTGAAACTGACACAATCTTTTCTTACGCCAGTTAAGGGCTCACAAGGGCGGAGCAGAAACAATCCTGAGTGGCTGAGCAATGCTCTGCTACAGTGCGTGAGACACAGGATCCAGGGCTTCTGGCTGGCAGGGCCCCGCCCTCCTTACCCAGACTCGGGGCTTCCTCCCTTCCCGTCTGTCTACCCAGGTCCTTCTCCCTGGGCTGTCTCAGGGACATGGGCTCCTTCCCCACGCTTCCTCCTGTCCCTCCAGCCCCCCAGGCCCAATTTACATTTCTCTCTTTGGTGGGACTGGGGATCAAACCCGGGGCCTCTGTGTTGAGCTACATCATTGCCCTTTTTTCTTTTTCATCTTGAGGCAGGGTCTCTGGAGGTCAATAAATTGTTCAGGCCACAACTCCAACAACTATGCAATCAAATCGGCTTAGCAGAAACATGTCCTCTAATCCTTCTTTCTTAGACCATTTCCAAAGCGGGCTCAAGACCACAGTATAGAAAGTGTGGAGGGCAGAGGGGACAGTCTTCTGGAGAGAGCTGCTGGCCGCCCCACCGCCTGGAGGTGGCAGCTACTCGGTGGCACGGGCAGCCGCTGCCACACCCCAGGAGGGGCGGGCTCAGGCACAGGTGTGCCAGGGGACAGACGTGCAGCACAGAGCTGCTCCCTGGGGCGCCTGGAAACTGTCACACAACCACGCTGCAGGATGACGTATCCGTCTTACACATGCTTAGCAGTCTTGCAACTGGAGAAGAGCGGTACTGTAAGATGTTTCAGGCGTTGTGGTCGAGAACCTTCAAACAGTGCCAAGTTTAGAACAGTCCTGGAGCCAACCTGGTCGCCATGAACTTAAGAAACACATTTAGGCTGCACAGTTGAATACGGTGCCATGCTGGGGACACCAGGAGGACAATGTCCCCACAGTGAGGGAAGTCGCAGCTAACAAGGAGCACGGGCTGTGGTGGGGACAGAAGCACAGAGCACGCGGGAAACGAGGGCACCAAGGGTCTGCAGCACAGGTGACCGGGGCAGGGCGTGCCCACCAGGCAAGCGCTCTGGGGTCTGAGGAACCAGCACGCATCCCACAGTGCCCAGGGCGGGCAGGGGACCAGCGGGCAGGGCCTTGTGCAGCAGCACCAGAACTGGCACCCACCCTCTTGGCAAGGTGCCCAGGGTTTGACAGGATCGGGTGGAGTGATTCACAACCCTCCCTACGACCCTTTCAGGGAACTGGTGAATATTCTGACCCCTCCACACTGTACGCGATAAATACTTTAATCTACCTTCGTCACTTTATTAGGTACTGCATTATGATTTCCCAATCCTTCCTCATTTATTAACAGCTCAATTTCCTTTGCATCATATAAGAGAAAGCACGAGTAAATGGTCAAATGGCACACCGTGTCTGGATCGAGGAGAAAATGTCCTAAAATACAGATGGCCGAGCCAGGGATGTGGCTCAGTGGTACAGCGCTTGCCCCGCATGCCCAAGACCCTGGGCTTGATGCCCCTGCCTCACGGGGAAAAAAAAGGTAGAAACATAACTGCACCATTACACACTCATGACCAGATTTTGGACTGTTTCGGTGGTACCGGCTTGCCCCAGGGACTCACACATTTCAGGCGAGCTCTACCACTGAGGATTCTTTCAGCTGGTCCATAAAAACGAACAAGTGCAGTTTAACAATTTTTGTGAGCTACGAGTGAAGGTTCTACACATGGTGCTTAACTTAAACAACACAGATAGGTATTTCCCAGCTCTGACTGCTGAGGAGCAGCCATGACAGCACGGGCAGTAGCCAGATGGCGGCTTCCGGAATCCGTTCCCTCCCTACCAGAAAGAACTCCAGCTTCCAGGGAAAATGGCTGAGCCCAGACTCGGAAGCCAGCCTGAAATGAACATGAGAGAGGGGTAAGGGTCTGACGGGGAGGGGTAGTGTGCAGCCCTAAGGGAGCCCTTCAGGGCAGACAGGAACCAGGAGCTGCAGTGTGGCGCTTGGATGTTCCCGGAGGGGCTGCGTGGGGCACCTTGAGGAGGTGGAAGCTTCAGGAGGGAGGCAGTCACTGAGGCGCATCTGGGAAGGAGACCCCGGGGCCACTACTCCTCCTGGTTTGTCTTCTGCTTCCTGGACGCCAGGGACAGTGAGCCTCCTCCCAGGGTGCACTGCGCTGCCACAGACCCGGGCAGCTGGGCCAAACCACCAGGAGACAGAAACCTCTGTCAAAACAAACCGTCCCTCCTTCAAGTTGTCTACCTCAGCGACAGGAAGCTGACTAACAGGACAGGAAGCTAGGGAAAGTGATAGAAAACTCTTCGAATTAATACAGGGGCCGCAACCCCAGTGCCAACACCCAAACGCCTGCCAGTAAAGCCATTTGGTCTACACTGTGGTTCACTCTCAGGCTCCAAAGAGCAAAGGAGCCCTTTCCCTGCCTTTGGGTCAGTTTTGTCTTCTTTCATCCTACCTTGCCAGGACCTTCTGCTCCGAGTAAGATACATCTGAGGGCCCTTACTATAAGCATTACAAACTAAACACAACTCCGTTACAAAGCTATGTCATTATTCCCTTCACCTTATGCAGGGAAGAAAAGACTAGCTATTAATGAACAGGTTTTCCTCAATGTCTGTCAGGATAAAGCTACTGGAAACTGGATTAAAAAATAATGATCAATAAATCAGAGTTAAACTTCCCTAATCTCAATTTCTACAACAATGGTTTCAGTTGCTGTCCTCTTTTTTTTTTGGTTCCAGGGACTGAACTCAGGTCCTTGGGCTTGCAAGGCAGGCGGCAGCACCACTGAGCTATATCCCCAGCCAGTTGCTGTCCTCTTTAAGTGCAGAAGATTCAAAATGACCTTTTTCTGAGCTTATCCTGCTCATGTTAAAACAGGAGTTTGAATTTAAAAGCCTACCTTGGCGGAAGCCAAGAACTCACAGCGACACCACGGCTCCTCTAAGCCCAAACATGTTCCTTGTGACGATGCACACCTTACCCAGTCAGCAGCTATGGTCCGGTCTGAGGCGCTAACGAGACGAACGGGGGCACTGCCGCGGGCCTTCTGCAGCCGTCTCCCATTTCCACACTACCCAAGTGCCCTAGGGGACTCACATCCTGTTTGCTCGGTATGTTACGGGGTCTGCGCACAGGGAGGTAGATTCGTACATACGAGACGACTGAATATGTTCCCCACTCTCAAGACCGCTGTACATGTATAACGCAGTAATTTAACTGTTTTTATTAAAAATGGAGGGATTTTATTGGGCGAATATTATAAAGAAGAAATCACAAAGATTCCACTGCCTGTGGACCTGGCTCTCCCAGGCTGGCTGTGTTCCTCGCCCTGCAGCCAGCTGGCTCCCAGTTCCAGCCTCGCGATGATCTTTCTTTTCATCTTTTCACAACGCTGCAAAACTGCACTCTATAAAATCCTCAGTAGCAGGCCGATGGCGCCTCTGAAGTTCTTTAACACTAAGCCCCAGAGCTTAAAGAGACTGCACCATCAGTTCTGCTCTGAGCCTTGTCCCAGCCAGTCCGTTTTCTATACTCACTGGTGCAAACACTCCCAAACCTCCGTCCCCTTGCAGCGTAAGCAGAAGTGTTTCTGCTGTGGCACTGGGTGTTGAGCCACGGCCCTCACACTGAGTTACATCCCCAGCTCTTCTTACTTTCCATTTGAGATGGGGTCTTGATAAGTCGGTAAGTTTCCCAGGCTAGGCTTGAACTTGTGAGCCTCCTGCCTCAGCCTCCTACAGTGCTAGGATGACAGGCTTGTGCCACCACACCCACTGGGCAGTGTGTGCTGTGCCCCAGTGCTTGCAAGGATGGGACCCTCCCTCTCTGTGCACACTCATGGTGACCCTCGTCCACTCCTTTAGCTCCTGGCTGGGCTTTACTGTCAACTGTCCAACTGGCCCTCCTGTTTTTCTAAAGCAAAACTGAAATTCTTCAGCTTCTATCCCACCAAGATGGTCTCCACTTCTGCCCTTTTTTTAAGACAGGGTCTTGCTTTGTAGTCCAGGGTGGCCTTGAACTTTGGGCAATCTTCCTGCCTCAGCCTCCTGAGGGCTGGGATTACGGCTGTGTGCTACCACACCCCGGCTGCCCTTGGTCTTTCCCAGCATTTATTCTGGTCTACCTCAGACTGGTTTCAATTAATGATCAAAATGTGTATTTGTTTAGTAAATGATTTATCCTCAGTTACACACACAAATAAATATTGCCCACATGAGCCTTCTGAGGTACGTGTGTCCTGTTTTCTAATGGACTCTGCTACCTTCCCATCTCCTCAGCCAGATTTGGCTGCAGCTGGATCCCAGGCGGCATCCCGAGTCAGCACAGACAATCACAGAGCAGCTGCCACACCAGGGGACACCCAGGGAGGCCCTGGATGCTCCAGACGCTGCCGCAGATACTGGACATGGCTGGGCTGGACAGGGCCCTAAACGACTCACTCCAAACCATTAAGGGGCTTACAAAGAACACAGGCTATAAAAGAGCAAGACTTCGTATCTAGTTTCTATAAAGAAAAAATTATTCTCCTGCACAATCTACTTGAGATATTCTTTAGTGTCTCTATGTAGGGACCACTGTAGTCACTAAAGTACATCACCACCTAAGTCTTCACAGAAACTGGAAATGCACACTGTGTGATGAAGCTTATGATTTTTTAGTTTTAGGTATAACCTTTTTCTTGTACTAAGGGTTATGCGAACAGAATTTTACAAACCTACAACAGTCTTCTGTATGTGATCTCTCCCTTGAACCAAAACACTCACAACTTGGAGCACTTGGGTAGCTCTCAGAAACATGAAATGTTGTCATAACGGCTACTGGCTTAACCACACTGACAGGATCACTTGTCCCGGACAACGAGATCGGTGTCAAACAGGAACCACAATGGCAGTGGGTTAAATCAAACCTGTACGTACGTCAGGGTGGTTTCCTTTCTCGAGACTTGCACCAGGTCTTCGTCGGGGTCCTTGAATCCAGTGAAGGAATAGTAGGATTTGTCCCATTTGATGGGCCTATCAGGCGTGCGTTTGGCTTCTCTGAGAGGCTGGGAATGCACATTAGTGTCCAAGCTTTGGATGTGTTCCACAGATAAACTGCAGGAGTTGAGAATATACAATACTGTGCTTAGCAGGTCTCGGGTGTGCAAAGTAAATCTGACTGCTCGAAACCCTAGAGAATATAATTCCCCCAGACAATTAATACAGAGGATCATTTGCTTTACCTTTAAAATAGTTTTGCATGCAACATTTATACAATCAAAAACTTTTAAAACATTCCATTTTTGATCACAACTCATGCTACTGGAAAACCACACATAAAACCGAACACCGTTCCCCTTCTCATAGCTCTAAGAGGCTTTCTACCTCACGGGTGTCTTTGATGTCAGCTCCCTTGCGGCCTGTGGCTGACCCGTCCCGCCCAGAGGCAGCGGGAGTACTCCCACTGCTGCCCATGAGCCAGGTCTCAGGGAGACGGGAAGCTCTCCCTGAGAGCAGGTGTCCACCGCAGTCAGTGTCCAGCACAGACAGCAAGCGTGCCACACACATGGCGTTGTGACTGGTGCAGAAAAGGGCCAGCTCTCCAGCCTGGGTGGCCACAGAAGCCAACCAACTGCTCTTCCTGGTTGCAAGGATGGATCACCCTCTTGCTTATCCCTGCACTAGCCAGTGACTCTGTCTTCTGGGGCGATTACAAAGTATCTAGTGTTTACAGTTAGCGCTTCACAAGCTGATCTGATGCAGTCACCAGCAGGAAAGCTGCTGTCCCCTCGCTGCTGTCAGGTGAGGCCTGGCCTGGGCTGACAGTCCCCAGCTCACGCTGCCTGGTCACACACGAGAAGCCCAGGCTCCAGGAGGTCGAGGATGAAGCTCAGGTTTGTGTCTGAGCCGAAACCAATCCAAGTACCTCTACAATATGTTCTTTTCTTCTTTCAAAAATTTTCAAAATTAGGGCCAGGGATTTAGCTCAGTGGTTCCACCACCTGCCTCACAAGCTCAAGGACCCGAGTTCAATCCCCGGTACAAAAAAAAAAAAAAAAAAAAAAAAAAAAAATTAAATTAGTTTTGAAAATGATACAAGTATTAAGGACATGCTTACTACAAAATTACACACCATGAATATATATGCATATATGCCAAGTCATGGCACAGGTGTGTGACCCTCACACCTTTCTTTACTAGAACAGCCACTGTTCAGTCAGGTAGCTCTTCTCAAAAACCTGCATTAATGTGGCAGCTTCTAGCCTCATGTGGCTACTGAAGATTAGATTAAAATTAATGAAGCATGAATTCAGCTCCTTGATCGCCCTGGATGCCTGTCAAGGGCTTGATGGCCACACAGCCTCAGTGGCCGCCATAGTGCATGGCAGAGATGTAGACCATTTCCTTGGAGGAAGGTTCTGGGACAGTGCCACTCTAATCCTTTCCTGTGCTTCTCTGGGTGTTGTTAGGTGACACCTATGAGTATATGTTTACACAAACACACAGTCATTCAGCTGGAATCGCTCCTTTTTTCGGGGGGAAAGGTCTTGCTATGTAGCCCAGGCTGGTCTTGAACTCACTATGTAACCCAGGTTGGCCTCATACTCATGGCGATCCTCCTGCCTCAGCCTCTCAAGTGCTGGGATTATAGGCGTGCGCCACCAGGCCTGGCTGGAATTGTTCCTTTTCACCATATAAATGGTGTCCCCCTGGATAATATATTTTGGACTCACTTTCTTCACAATGTCAGTGACTTTTCCAGCTCTAATGTACAAATCAGCCTCATTCTTTTCAGCAGCTTCTCGACAATCTGTTTAATGACTGCTGCATCACTGACACTTCCAGGAGTGTTGGATGTAGAAGCTGTCTTCAGTTCGCTGCCATTCCAAAGCCACAAGTGTGTTTCCTAGTCTCTTTGACCGACAACTGACACCACACTTTAACTCTTTCTCAGAGACACACGTTCTGCTCACCAGGTAATTCATGGGCCCCAGAAGATGCAAACTAAGAAAGGTTTTTACTTGAAACATTTGATGCTAAAGTGAGAACTATAGCAGCGTAACTGTTCTATCAGCCAAGAAGGAGGGAAAAACCCAAACTCGTGCGCTGCAGGTCAGGAACAAAGAACTCATCCTTCACACGGCTAAGTCATGGAACAAATCAGTTTCTCTCTTATCAGTTCATTAATTCTTTAATACAATAAAAGGGCTGCTGTACAGTGAGGCTGCCTGTACCAGAACGTACACATCCTTTACCAGTTCCTCAGTGTACATTCCTAAAAGAGGAACTTCTCAGTTTTGGGGAGATAATTCCAAGAAAGCTGTATGAATTTACACACTTAACAATAAAGGGTGAACATATCGTCTCACATATGGGAGCACTGTGAGTAAAAGAAAAATTTATGGGAAAAAGAGTAATTATTTCAGCTTGCATTTGAATACTGTGGCTAACATTTTCATTAGCTATATGTGAGTTATTTCCTGAACTATCCATTCATAGTCTTTGCCACTTTTATAGTCAGTTTGATTTGTAACTCTGTATATCCTAATTTTGTATATACATCATATTCTTTCTCTCATTTCTAACAGTCTCTTCTATAACCTACTTTTGCTTAATGAATAGTTCAACAAGTTAATCATTAACTGGAAGTAGAGGATTTCTGTTTTTAACTCAGTCAGAACTGGCTATAGCTATATGCTTTGATATCAGTTTACAGAAAGCTCTTAGTAAATCTTTAGCTTGTTTTTACAACTTATTTTAACAAAGCATATTTTCTCAAAGACCACCAAGAAAATGTGGAGCTAAAGAAATTATTAGGCCTTTAGGAATTTCAATATATTAATCAACGCACAGTGTTCATGAAAATTTCAGTGATCGCTGGTAAGCATTTTACCTTACTACCATCTTAAGTATCAATGAAAAGCTGATTAATAACTTTTCGTGTTCTAGAAAGAAAACCTGAAGAAAATTTTATTTTAATTTTATAATCAGAAATAAAAGTTTTCAATCTCCATCAGAGTGCTAATCTGCATCAATCAAGGCAAAGGCAAAAATGTGTAACAGCAGAGCCAGGGATTTAGCTCAGTGTTGCCTTCGCCTGCCTCGCAAGTGCAAGGTCTTGAGTTCGATCCCTGGTACCAAAAAAAACAGTGTAACAGCAATACTGGGAAAGGTTAATAACGTGGTATGGGAGCCACGCCTCTGGACACGAGCTCTAGGGCCAGCTCTGCCCTGCCCTGCAAACCCAGCTTCCTCCCCAGCTAGCAAAACAAGGACTCTCGCGGCTAAGCGGCACACTCACAATGCCCCAAACAAAACATGATTATTTACACTTCCGAACAGATCTGTGTCACAGAGCCACATACAGCTATTACTCATTTACATGATTCTTTAGCTGTTCCATTACATAAGGGCCATGAGTTGACTTTCTGTCTGAATAATAAAGCACAGGAGCTATTTTTAATAAAATCATAAATCAGAGGTAGATGGAGAAGCTGTCAAGAGCCGGAGCCTGTTTTTGGTCTCCCATCTTCTATCAGAAAGGCAACCGGCAGGAGGAGACCCCGGTGGCCGTCCTGCGGGCTGGGCGGGAGCCTCCTCACGGCGGGGACTTTGCCTGGCTTGGAGACGCAGCTGTGGACGGGCAGGGACCGTGGGTCTCCTCTGAAGAGGTGAGGACCCAGAGCTTAGGCCAAGGCCGCACAGCTTGTCACTGTCAGAGCTAGAAATAGATTCGAGGTTGCAAAAGACTGTCAAATTCTCAGTTGTGTAATAGTTTGTTTCGAAAAAAGTCCCTGGGTATTTTCTGTTTTAGTCCTAGCTCACAGAAAAGCTCTCAGTGAATCATTATTTTGTTTTATTTGCTGTAAAAATAGTTATCTCCTTAAGGATCATCAAGAGGATATTCATTTAAAGAAAGGACAGGCCTGTCAGGCCCTTCACCTAGTAAACCCTGTTTCTAATTTTAAGCATTACTGGATCATGACTAGAACAGCAATAAAAGGTACCGGGGAGAAAGCTGTGAGTCTGAAAAGATGGGTTAGAGTTTAGAAAAAAACCCTTGATGGGAGTTCTGGGCTCTCGGAGAGTTGCTGGGCCTCCCCAGATCACACCAAGGCGAACACTGCCAACCTCACAGGGAGCAAGGACGACGGAAAGGGAGCGCGAGTCGTAGTTCTTAGGCGTATAAACAGTTACAGAAGAGCTAAATACTTAACACTGAAATGAGGGGACAAGCGCTACACTTTAATACATGACCAAGCTAAAAGTACAAAAAAAAAAACGTTTGTTGAAAAACAGGCAGCTGGGACAGACTGTAACTGATCTCAGTGATGCTGCTTTCCAGTGGTCAGGGCTTCAGGTACATCCTGGCAACGTCGAAATGAAGGCCCACACGCAATAGGACCAAAGGTCAGGGCCACCCGCACACACGAATAACATACCGGAAGAGCCACTGGGCTCCTGGGCATCCGAGGAAGGCTGGGCTGTTTCTCGCACATAAAACGTGAGCTGAGTTGGTTTCAAAGACCTGAAGCCTGGTTTCTGGAGGTTCTCTAAGTAGACACTTAGTCTCTTAAGAGAATTTTCATTGACTTCCTGGGAAAAATACGAATGGCATTTAGACACAAATGAGAACAAGAAACTCAAAGTAACAATATTGTCCTTTCAAACAATATTGAGGGTATTATTATTTTAAAAAATTGGAATTTTGTAGTTCTTGTTTTTCTTTTCTTTTCTGCTGTACTGGAATAAACCCAGGGCCTTGTGCTGGCCAGGTCAGCGCTGCACCAGAGTGGCTCCCTGACCCCTCGCGGCTCTGACAAAACTGCACTCACATCTAGTAACTCGCAGTGGCATGAAGTCTGTATCCATGAGACAGAAAAACAACCGACTATGTGAGCCCTAGGAGAAAACACGGCTCAATGCCTTTATAACCTGGAAGTGGAGAGAACCTAACTTTGTCCAAACAGCTCAAAGCAACCAATGCCTGCTAAGGCCAATTACATTCCTGTACTTGATGAAAGCCAAGAGCATATTTCTGTTATACTTGAAGATGTATGAAAAAAATTTAAAAACCCTTCTAAAAACCACATACGGGGCCAGAGATTTAGCTCAGTGGTTCTGGTGACTGCCTCACAAGCGCAAGGACTCGAGTTTGATCCCCAGCACCAAAAACAAAACAAAACAAAACAAAAACAAACAAAACAAAAAAACCACATATGGTCCTCACAGTAAGCAAAGCCATGAGACATATAACTATGGGAGATAAATATTTACAACTTGCTCTTCCACAGCACAGCGGCTGAATATAGTGCATTCAGTGGAGTGTTACACAACCCAAAATGCGATGTAGATGGTAGCTATGAACAGGGATGGAGTAATTTCAAAGACATATTGTTATATAAAAGATGTCTTTAGTGAAGAATGGCATAATCACGCTTTTTACCCTCAGTCTCTCCTCAAGAATACTCTTTTTTATTTTTTTGGTACTGGGGATCAAACTCAGGACCTTGCGCTTGCAAGGGAGGTGGTGGAACCACTGAGCTAAATGGCAGGCTCTCCAAGCATACTTTCCAAGTGGTTTGAAATTTGGTACAATCACTATTTGATGACTCTACTGTTGACTTGAAAGGAACGTCCGCTGAACTGTGTTCTGGGTGTGCCAGGCCCACTTTAAGGAGCACTGGGGTATGAACAGTGTAATGAAGGAGGAGGAGTTCAGCTGATTTTCCTTGGAGGACCACTGGCTGCTCTCTTGGGAGGAGCTCCGGGCTTCACCTTTGCCTTGAGCATTGTCTCCTGGCTCTCGGTGCAGATTTTGCAGCTTCCAGCACCACCCTTTCCACCCTCCATGCACCCCCTTCCGCTGGGGATCCTCCTGGCTCCTGATGCGGACTCAGCCAGACCCGGGACCCTTCAGATCCCAGCGCGTGGACAGATCTCCCGCACGTCTCTCCATGTGAGTGCCGTAAACGGCTGTGCGCTGCATCAGATCTGATTCTGAGCACCACCATCTTCAGCACTAACACAGGTGGTTTTAGCCGAGACAGCGTAAGACGAACGGTGCAGAAGCATTTTAGATACATTTCTATTTTTGCTGAAAAGAAACAAAGGAGGCTACCCTGAAGCTCTTGACAATGATTGCGCACATAAAGTGAATAGGAACCAGGAGAAGGTGAGAAGTCTCAGTAAACTTTATATTTAGCTTTGATTTTAAGACCTATACATGTTCTGCAGACTTTAAAGAGAATTAAAACAACAACTGTTCATCAGCAAGAGACCCTGGCCTGAGCTGGGTGCGAGGAGCAGAGGTGACTCAGGCCTGCACTGTAGGGGCAGAGAACAGTCAGGGAGCCTCAGACCTGGGACAGGGGGCAGGAAAGGAAAAAATTCAACAAAGTGCCACTGTGTGAGGAGGGAGGGCCCGTGGGAAGGAGGGCGGCGTGCAATAGGCAGCCCGGAGAGCCCCTCCCTAGTGACGCTCCTGGGAGAAGGGGCCACCGCAAGCCCTGGCCGGAGCAGGCAGGAAAACTCACAAGCAGACAGGATGCACCGGAACACACTGGGCCAAACCCACATGCAGGTGCGACGATCCAGGAAGACTCAAGAACCAGCAGCCGCTAAGGCCCACACAGCAGAAGCAGGGCAGGGAAGTGGCAGGGGAAGGAAAGCCAATCGCAAGTCCCCCAGGTCACGCCGCAGTGGCGATGCCGGACTGCTTCCTGCCCCTCAAGAGCATGCGAGGATGTGAGAAGGCGCTGCCAACCCAGGATGCGCACGCAGCCTTGGTGCCTGTGGTCTCACCAGGGTTTTAATGGGGCTGGTCATGTGTGTACCCCACCCACCATGGCCCAGGACTCAGGCAGGAAAGCACATTATTAGCATAAAGGGGAACCGCTGATTCCCCTTCCCATTGTAGGTACTTTTTGGAGACAGGGTTTCACTATGTATTCCGGGCTGGCCTCGAACTCACAGTGATCCTCCTGCCTCAGCCTTCTCAGTGCTGAGATTACAGACATGTGAACCACACCCGGCTCTCTAGTTCATTCTTAGCAGGTAGGGCATGCAGATCTCCAGGGGACTAGTCAAGGGTCAGCAGGGGAGCCAAGCCTGTGTTCAGAATGTGCAGGGTTAAAGCAACCCAAGCTCACCGTTAACCCTTCATAACACAGGATTTTAAATCAGTAAGCTACACCAGGGGCTGGGGATGCAGCTCATGGATAGAGCCCTTGTGTAAGGTGTGCGAACCTGGATTCAATCCCCAGCCCTACAAAAAGGAAAAATGTAAAAAAATAAAAGGAAGAAAACGTGATTACTAATTTGCTTGAGTGTACATAACAATTTTCTGGCCTACATAAATAATAACAGCTTTCATTAGAAAGTTATATTATCAATTTCTGGTATTCAGAATTTTTACTAATTTTATTAATTTGAAGGTTAACTAACTTGAAAGTCAGTGCTTTCTGTAATTCACGTCAGTTCAAAGCGCTGATTATGTGGTCATGCCAGAATAATTCAAAGCTGCAGGACCCTGTTATACTGGATCAAAGGTAAGCAAGGGAACACAGCAGAGGCTCACCCTCTCTCTGGGGTGCTGTCCGAAGAAGTCTGGGTGGACGGCAAAGTAGAAAGGCCTCAGGGCGTGGACGGCCTCCGCTCCCGACAGAGCTCGTGAGTAGTGGAGGCCATGTGGGCGGATCTGCTCCAGACAGAACCTTGCAAAGAGATGCACTGGTTATTCTTGTCCCAGAAACACATGTTCCCAAGGAGGAAGTGACAGTCCAAAGTACTAGCGGGAAAACACCGCAGTAGCAGACAGGAATGGCACAGTCTTTTGAAATCTATTAGGTTTCAGAAAGTGGTTCTATATTCCTCTAATGCAATGAGAAATACTACGCGACGATAACATTTCTCCTGCACCATCCACTTTAAAATATTAACTGGCTTCACTGCAAATGATGACTGTTTTCTCTATAAAGTACAGGGTGGTTTTGTTTCAGCCCCCAGTGAAAAACCAAATCTCAAAGCTCACCTCCTCAAAGGTCTCAGGTGGCAAAACATTTCGGAATCAGTGTGTATGTCAGCTTCCAGGCACTCACTGATTGCTTCAAAAGATAAGAGGCCACAAATGAACAAGCAGAATTTGAAATTATTACTGTATTAGCACTTCCCCAAACGAAACAAGTAGGTGTCAATCTAACCAAGTATGTACAACAGTTAGATGAGGGAATCCACAGAACTGTGACAAGAGAAATCCGAGACCTATGGGGTCGGGAGAGATCCCACGTTCACGGGTGAGCAGGTGCTGCCGAGATGCCTGTGCCTCTCTGCCCACTTGGTGTGCAGTCAGTGGGTTCCATCAGCATCTGTGACAGGAACTCGGCGGGCCCGGAAGCTGCGGGCGGGTGGAAGGTGCCTCTGCATGTCTGGGTGGCTCAGGGACACCGACCTTGGGCACGACCCCTGCTGCCTTGCCTCCTCTTCTCGGGCACTGCTCACCTGCTCCGCTTTGCAGCCACCGCAAACTAAGCAGCTCTGCCCTGCCAGGCCCTTCCACTGATGTTCCTGCCCGGAGCCAGGCAAGCACCGACTGTTTGGCCGAGTAAATCTCAGTTGTGTGTGCTGGGGATTTGGGCCAGTACCATCTCAGTGAATTACTTTGTGGATACCGAAAGTTTAGAGATCTAGAGCAGCCAACTTAAGGTCGGCAAAGAAAGTGGAGAGACTGATACTATTTGACTTCAAGATGAACTCTAAAGCTACATTAATCAAGACAGCCTGGCACCGCCAAAAGAAAGAAAAGACAAACAGATCCATGTAGCAGGAAATACAGTGCAGAACACACACAGTTAAGTGATCTGTGAAGGGAGCAATGTGGCAAAAACTGTTTTCAACAAAGGACAATGGAAGCATGGGGATCCACATGCAAAAAAAGCAACCTAGACACATCTCACATCCTTCACAAAAATGAACTCGAAATGAAGCTGAGCACTGGCGAACACCTGTAAGCCCTGCACTCCAGAGGCTTTGGCAGAAGGACTGCAAGTAAGTAAGCAAATAAATAAAGACTGGGATGTAGCTCAGTGCCAAGGCCCTGGATTCCACACCCAGTACCGCAAAAACAAAACAGAACAACAACAACAACAACAACAAAAAAAAAAAAAAAGGAAAAAAGGATTGCAGACCTGAATGTAAAATACAAAACTATAAAATTTCCAGAGGATAACCGGAAAAAAATCTTGATGACCTTGGTCATGGAGACTTTTTAAGACAGGACCAAGGCATTGCCCATGAAAGAAATAATCAGTACACCGGACATTAAGCTTTACAACTTCTGCTCTGTGAAAGAGGTGAAAAGAACAAGGAGGTAAGCCACACACCTGGAGAAAAACACACATCTGCTGATACACTATTTTCCAAAATAGACAACAAACTCCTCCACTCAACAGGAGGAAAACAATCCAACCAAAAAATGGACAAAAGCCTGGAAAACATCCATCAAGAAGACAAGAATGATGGCAAACAATCATATGAAAAGATGCTTAGCACGGACGGCATCGGGGAACTGCATCATCGGGGATAATGCGATCCCACCCCGCAGCTACCAGAATGACCCAAATCCAGGGTGCACACAACACCAAACGGAGCCCCCCTCACGTGGACCAGAGTGCCAGGTGCTGCAGCTCAGCAGCTTTTCACACACCAGACACACTCTATCACCCCGTCCAGCAACGGCAGTCCTCTGTATTTACACAGAAGAGCTGCCAGTGCAGGTGCACACAAAAACCCACACACACCTTTACAGAGGCTTTATTCAAAACAGTTTCCTTTAGCAGGTGAATGGATAAACTATGGGGATATTCAGATAACAGAATTATTATTCAGGCTAAAAAAAGACAAAGCTTTTGAGCTATGAGAAGACATGGAGGAAGTGTAACTGCATAACTAAGAAGAAAAAAGCCAATCTGAAGAGGCACAGACTGGGATTCCAACTGTACGACTGTCATAAAAAGGCAGACGCTGTAAAAGGGTTGGGGCAGGGAGGAATGAACAGTCATGGCTCAGGGGATCTAAGGCAGCAAAACTATGCTGTCTGAAACCACAGCCGTGGAAATACGTCCTGCACACCATGCAAAGCAACTCCGCGGTGTGGACCCCGGGTGCCACTGACTGCCACCCATGTACCACCTGGTGTGGGCTGCAGACAGTGAGGTTATGCATGCAGTGGGAACTGTACTTTCTGCTTAATTCAGCTGTGAATCTAAGTCTGCTCAGAAAATCAGTTTTATCCTTAAAGAGAGGAAAAGAGATATGAAATCACATGGACTTCTCTACTTCAGATCTCTAGTAAGACATTCAAGTCTATCCTGGTCTCTGTCGACTGTGACCAAAAATGGCTGTCAGTGGGTGGCAGGGTATTAAGTGCTTTAATTTTTTTTTCCTTATTTCTCAGTTTATTTACAAAGAACAGAAGAAATATATTCTTAAAAAAATCAGTTTCAGCATACAAATGATAGAATGATTCCACAGGAAACCTGTGCTATTCATTATTTCAAGCCCCACCCTAGGAATGTCTCAGGAGTCCTGGACTGTGGTCCAGCCCATTCATTAATCCATTCTGGTTATTTTTGAGACAGGGTCTCACTATATAGTTCAGGCTGGCCTTGAACTTACTATGTAGCCCGAGCTGGTCTCAAATTGGTGATCCTCCTGCCTCAGCCTCCTGAGTGTTGGGGTTACAGGTGTGCACCATCATGCCTGGCTATTCATTTGTTTTTGTAGTGCCGAGAACTTAGGTGTCCTGGGCAAGTGCTCTCCCAGTAAGCTATATCCTCAGCCCTTCATTTCTCATTTTATTAGGAAAACTTATGCCATGTGACTGCATATTCTAACGCACGAGCTCGGTTTAGAGCAAGAAGCTTGGCCAACACTAGACAGCAAATTGCAGACACTCCAACGCTGGACTTCCCAGTGTCCTTAGTAACTGACCTAGGGCCTCCCAGGGGCCATGTCCTACTATAGACCTAAATCCCCAGGCCTCCTTAATGATGCTCGGTCTGGTACATGAAGCATCTTGTGCCTAAGACAAATAATATAACATGCTGCAAAAGCATTTCCATCAAAAATAAAGCAAAATTTAAAAGTCTATAAAGTTCTGGTCTTTAGTCATCCAGAAACGTCAGTTCATTTGCTATTCATTCTGTAATTCTAGGGTACTGTTGGGGTTCACACCCAGATGTCCCCCTGAGGTCTCACGTGCTCACAGGGGTGTGCGATACTGGCCTAGTCCACTGGTGGGCTACAGTTCTCGGGGGGACAATGGACTTACAGGGGAGGGAAGCCCTGCTCGCATGGCATGAGCCACTGGTGCCACAGACAGATAGGATCACTTTTATCAGCCTTGCCACTGATGATAAAAAGCCACTGGCGATTCAAGCTGGCAGCAGTGAGGTGTATGATCTACTGGTGTTAATGCTTGGAAAAGTGGCAACAGACTCTCCCATGCCTGTATTGTCAAAGTCTGAGCTATGAAGCCACGTGATCAGTTTCTAAATTTAGAAGGAAATTTTTAGAAATAGGGTATTACAGGTTGAAGTGTTTTCTTTTCTTTTCTTTTTTTTCAACTTGTGTGACTCCATGTGTGCAGTCCAGGATGGTCACACTCCTTGAGGGACACTGGTACATGCGTGTGATGCCCTTCCTCACTGCCTCCCTCCCTCCATTACCTGATACCCCTTCCCACGTGAGAAAGATCTGTCTCTCCTTCCTATTGCCCCTCCCCGCTTTGCAGTACTGGGGATTGAACTCAGGACCTTGCTCTTGTGAGGCAGGTTGGTGACACTGAGCTAAATCCCTGGCCCCCAGTTGTCTTTTATTTGGCTCTGTATTTATATTTTGGGTTTCTCTTATAAGAGAAATCATGCAATATTTAACCTGTGTGTCTGATCTATTTCAGTTAACATCATGGTCTCAAGGTGCATCCATTTTCCTACAAACAACTCAAGATTTTCCTACATTATGACATAGTACTCCTTTGTGTACAAATACCACACTGAAAGGTGTTTCCTATCTGCCTTGTGTGGGTGCACGCCATGTGTGTGTGTACTAGGAATTAACACTCACACTAAGCTACATTCTCTAGGCCTTAAAAAAAAATTTTTTTTTTTTACATTTTTGAGACAGGGTTTTAAGTCACTAAGTAGCCCAGGCTGGACTTGAACTTGTGTCAGCTGCTCAGTGTGCTGGGATGACAGGTACGTACAGACACGCCTGGCTCTACCTGCTGCTTCAGTGTGTAGGCTTCAGGACAGGAAGGGGATGGGCATGTGGACCTGTAAAGAGGGAAACAGCCACTGGAGGCGACTGAGTACAGTAACTGAGGTGGGGTTGGTCAAACCCAGGAGTGAAGTGGAAAGTACCCAGGGGACTTGGAAGGCTAAATGCAAAGAACATGAAGTGTCGTAGTTTTATATCGCTACAATCGGCCCTTCAGAGCAGTCTGCCTACCTGAAGTTTCTTTAACAGACAGGGCAGGTGTGGTGGGGAGGTATTATATCTTCACCTACATTTTCTCAGCACGTTAATGATTTGAAATGACTGGCAGTGAACTTTCTATAATGAGAAAGGATTATATGATATGTGAAGACCTTAAGGAAAAGCAACCAATTCCACAGTTCCTTCCTTGGGTTTAAGAGGCAAATGTCTAGTGAAAGTAACACATTTCCAAGGCAGCAAAACAGTCCGGGAATCTGAGTGGAGTTGAAAAAGCTAGAGATTCCTAAATCCCTTTTTTTAAGAAAACTGAATTGAGCAGGGTACCACACCTATAATGCCAGCACGTGAGAGGCTGAAGCAAGAGGATCCTTGCATGTTCAAGGCCAACCTGGGCTACAGAGTGAGGCTCTGTCTCAAAAAACAACAAAAAGTCTAGCTACTCCTAGATTAAAAAAGAAACTAATTCTGGTAAAAGAGGGATCAAGTCATAGGAAGATGCCTACAGACAAAAGATCTCATTCTGCAGCCTGTACAACCAAATTTTCATCCTAAGATAATCACCTCCTATACAAATTTTTGGAAAAATTAAAGGTGTATTTTCTGGCTCTCTTTAAGAATCAGAACGGAAACCAACGTTTCCCCTTGCAGTCCCGAGTCTTTGGTTTACAGTGTTTTCCCCTAAATTTTCCTTTAAGCATGGGCTCTGAAGACTAAGAGAGAGGGAAGCTGTGATCTGATCAGGCTCCAGTTTTGGAAAAAAGGGGTAAAGGTAGAGAAGAAAAACAATCTTAAGGAAAAGTTCTCAAATTGGTGACCACAACTGGAAGGGGGACTCGAGTCCCCTCAACTCTGACAACCACTACTTTAGGGACACAGGATTCTGGGATCTGTTAGAAAACTTTTACCATAAACTTTAAAAATACCTGTTAAATACAAACTCAGGGAAAGATCTTTCAAGATAGTTAAATTCTAAAAACCTGCATTTGATTTTTAATTTTTGCTTGCACTAGCTAACTCCTTGCTGCCTGAATGGTTTACCTTTTTTTCTGACTTTCTGAGACAAGGTCTCACTGTGTAGTCCAGGCTG